GCGTCTAGTCATACTGGCCCCGTGACCATGGAAAAGTCTTCGGACAGCGCTGGCTCTTCGGCTTGGAAACGGAGATGAGCACCGCAACCCTAGAGTCTGATTCGATTGGCTTTCGAGCAAGGGGAACCTTGGCCTCCCACCCTCACCCTGGCTTGGGGCCAGCGGCTATCTGCACGGCCCGCCACAAACACTTACTTCCTGTTTGCAAACAGAGAAGTTGGGACCCCTTGACCCGATCCCCACACCTGCATCTTACCCCATACGTGCCCAACACCCTGCGGCCCTTTGCGACTGGATTTCACTGTGAGAGACGGCAAAACCCACTTGCAAACGGTCACGAAGGCGCATCGAGAAGTAGACGGAAAGCACATCATTTGGCATGGCTGAGATCACGTCCGGTCCCAGCGATGCCTTTGCAGGTTAACACAACAACAAGTGCCGAAGGGGCTGGGTAGTGCCGGTGGCGGCGGGGGACGGACAGGGACAGGACTTTCTCCCGCAGGAATTGCCGGATGCTTTTCACCATGCTGCTGCTACTGTGGTATTTGCGCCGTCCGCGCCGTCTCAGACGTTAGCGCTGACCTCCAGAGCCCGTCTTAAGACCCAAATATACAGATCCCGGAGCTGCGGTGGCTCAAGTGGTTAAGACGCTGAACTGCAGGCTGTGGAAGGTCGGTCGTTCAGCAGTTCGAGACCCGGGTTGCCGCATGGCGGAGTGAGCTCCCGTCTCTAGTTCCAGCTCCTGCCAACCTAGCAGTTCGAAAGCAAGAAATTGCAAGTAGATAAATAGGTACCGCTTCAGTGGGAAGGGAACAGCGTTCCGTGCGCCTTGGTTTTTAGTCATGCCGGCCACGTGACCACGGAAACGTCTTCGGACAGCGCTGGCTCTTTGGCTTTGAAACGGAGATGAGCACCGCAACCCTAGAGTCAGACTCGACTGGCTTTCGAGCAAGGGAAACCTTTACCTTATACAGATCCCACTAGTAGAAAACACCATCAACGATGGCCAAAACAATACATTAAACAATTATAAAGTTGGTGGTGTTACAACAACCAACATGAGTGCATACTGTAACTATAAGAAGGCATAAGACGCGATATTTCCTCCTTGGAAGGTAAGACATAAAGTCCATGCACTCAGTGTACCTTGATAACTTGATAGGAGGAGTCCACATAGCCATAACTTTACATCTTCTCTTCCGAGGAGGAAATATCGCATCTTATGCCTTATTATAGTTACAGTATGCACTCATGTTGGTTGTTGTGACACCATCAACTTTATAATTGCTTAATATATATATATTGTTTCGGCAATCTTTGATGGTGTTTTCTACTAGTGGGATCTGTATATTTGGGGCTCCTGTGACGCCAGTCTTTCCCCCCTTGTTGTACATCTCAAGACCCGGGCAGAGCTTGGAAGTTGCCCCTCTGCCTTTGGGGATTCAGAATACGTTTTGGGCTGTATTTTTTGGGGGGCTAAGATGCTGAACTGCAGGCTGGAAGGTCGGTAGTTCAGCAGTTTGAGACTCGAGTGCCGCGTGACGGAGGGAGCTCCCGTCTCTGGCCCCAGCTCCTGCCAACCTAGCAGTTCGAAAGCAAGAACATAAGGGACGCCAATGTTGGATCAGGCCAGTGGCCCCTCCAGTCAAACACTCTGTGTCACACAGTGGCCAGAAATACCAGGTGCCATCAGGAGGTCCAGCAGTGGGGCCAGGACACTAGAAGCCCCCCTCCCACTGTTGACCCCCCCAAGCACCAAGAAGACAGAGCATCCTTTGCCCCAGAGTCCCTGTCTATACCTTGTGGCTAAGAGCCACTGATGGACCTCTCCTCCATATGCTTATCTAATTCACTTTTGAAGCCATCTATACTTGTAGCCACCATCACTTCCTGTGGCAGTGAATTCCACGGGTTAATCACTCTTTGAGTGAAGAAGGACTTCCTTTTATCCGTTCTAACGGAAATTGCAAGTAGATAAATAGGTGCCGCTTCGGTGGGAAGGTGACAGCGTTCCGTGCGCCTCGGTGTCTAGTCACGCCAGCCACATGACCACGGAAACGTCTTCGGACAGCGCCGGCTCTTCGGCTTTGAAACGGAGATGAGCGCCGCAACCTTAGAGTCTGATTCGATTGGCTTTCGAGCAAGGGGAACCTTTACCTTAAAGAAGGGAAACCGCCGCTGCCGCAGAACCCGGCGCTTCGAGAGCAACCAGGAGGGATTGCGACATCCTTAAAGGCCCACATCCTGTTTAGAACACAAACACGGCTCTCTTCCCCACCCCCCACCCGTTTATTCCTTTCCTCTTCTCCGCTACGTCCGAGCACCACAAAATGTCTGGCTCAGACAGCCTGGAAATGCATTTTCGTTGGGGAAGGGAGAGTAGAGGAGGACGTTGGGGGGGGGGGGGGAAGTGTGGGAAAGATGTAGATTCAGTTCCTGTCGGGAAGTGTCCTTCCCCCCCCCTTTGCATTCTTTCTAAGAAGAATAAGGTAGGGGAGGAAAGAATGAGCAGCCAGTTAATGCGTCCTGGCTACAGGGGGGGGGGGGAGAAAGGGGTGTGGGTGTAAGGAAAACCAGTGCCCGTGAGTCACCAGGGTTGGTGGTGGAAAAGCGTCGTCAAAGCCCTGAAGGGTTCCGAAGGCAAGAGGCGTTCAGAGGTGGCTTGCCGTTGCCTGCCTCTGCGTAGCAACCTTGGACTTCCTTGGAGGTCTCCCATCCAAGGCTGACCCTGCTTAGCTTCCGAGAACTGATGAGATCGGGCTGGCCTGGGCCATCCAGGTCAGGTCCAGAGACAAACGGAGGGGGTTTGCCGCTGCCTGCCTCTGCGTAGCCATCCTGGGCTTCCTTGGAGGTCTCCCATCCAAGGACTCACCGGGGCCGACCCTGCTTAGCTTCGAAGATCTGACGACATCAGGCTAGCCTGGGCCACCCAGGTGAGGGCAGACGAACCAAGGTGGTTTCCCATTGCCTGCCTCTGCGTAGCAACCCTGGACTTCCTTGGTTGGTCTCCCATCGAAGGACTCACCAGGGCCGACCCTGCTTAGCTTCCGAGAACTGATGAGATCGGGCTGGCCTGGGCCATCCAGGTCTCGGCAAGAGGCGAACAGAAGCGGTTTCCCATTGCCTCTGCACAGCCACCCTCAACTTCCTTGGTGGTCTCCCATCCAAGAAGTAACCAGGGCCGACCTTCCTTAGCTTTTGAGATCTGATGAGATCGGGCCGGCCTGGGCCATCCAGGTCTCGGCAAGAGGCGAACAGAAGCGGTTTCCCATTGCCTCTGCACAGCCACCCTCAACTTCCTTGGTGGTCTCCCATCCAAGAAGTAACCAGGGCCGACCTTCCTTAGCTTTTGAGATCTGATGAGATCGGGCCGGCCTGGGCCATCCAGGCCAGGTCCAGAGACAAACAGAGGTGGTTTGCCATTGCCTGCCTCTGCATAGCAACCCTGGACTTCCTTAGTGGTCTCCCATCTGAATACTAACCCGAACCAACCCTGCTTTGCTGCTGTGATCTGGCAAATTTGGGCTAGCCTGAGCTGTCCAGGTCCAGGAAAGAGACGCTCAGAGGTGGTCTGCCATGGCCTGCCTCTGCAGGGCAACCCTGGACCTCCTCGGTGGTCTCCCACCCAAGCAGCCAAGCTTAGCTTCCGAGATCAGGCGAGCCTGGGCCCCTTGGCGCCTGTTAATTCAGGGAGTTTCCGAGGGCTCCCGAGGAGCAGGAGGCGGAGAGGCTGGGGCGGAACAGAACGTCCAGCACGCAAAGGACGTCACAGCCGCCGTCCGGTTTGCCCTCCGGATAGATACAGGTGTGGTCTATTCCAGCATCCTCCCACAGCGGCTGAACAGTTCCTTTGGAGGGCCAACAACAGGGCAAAGAGGCCGAGGCCTTCATAAGAACATCAGAAGTGGCCTGCTGGGTCAGACCAGTGAGGGTCCATCTAGTCTAGCACCCTGTCTCACACAGGGGCCAGCCAGTCCCTCTGGAGGGCCAACAACCGGGCATAGAGGCCGAGACCTTCCCCTGATAAGAACCTCAGAAGAGCCCTGCTGGGTCAGACCAGTGAGGGTCCATCTAGTCCAGCATCCTCTCTCACACAGGGGTCAACCAGTTCCTCTGGAGGGCCAACAAGGGGCAAGTGGAGGAGTGCCCCTGTAAGCCGCCCTGAGCCCGCTCGCGGGGTAGGGCGGGGTAGAAATACTGAAATAAAATAAATATAAAATAAATATAAATAAACAACAAAGCACAGAGGGGAAGAGCCCTGCTAGATCAGACCAGTGGTCCCTCTAATCCAGCACCCTGTCTCACATAGTGGCCACCCAGTTCCTCTGGAGGGCCAACTACAGGGCAAAGAGGCCGAGGCCTTCCCCTGATGTTGCCTCCAGGCACAACTGCCTCTGAACGAGGAGGTTCCCCTCAGCCACCACGCCTAGTAGCCCCTGATAGACTTCTCCTCCGTGAATCCGTCTAACCCCCCTTTTCAAGCTGTCTATTCCTGTGGCCATCCCTACATCCTCTAGCAGCGAATTCTACATTCAAATCGCTCTCTGGGTAGAGAAGTTACTTCCTTTTCCCCGTCCTGAATCTACTGCCCGTCGGCTTCTAGCATTTCGGGAGAGGGAGAAAAGGTTCTCTTCGTCTGCTCTCTCTCTCCACCCCCGTGTGGCGCTCCCCTGGACAAAGGCTTCTCCTCCTTCCCTTCCACCCCCCCCCCCAGCTGGCCGACTTTCCTGTTGACATCCGACTCTGGACACAGGATGGAAGGCCGGCCCCGCCCCAAAAAGCGGGGGGGGGGGGGGGCGAGGAGCTCTGCTCCACTCCCGGAGGCCCTGGAATCTCCCGCCTTTGCCAAGGCAGCTTTTCACCTCAGACAGTGCAAAGGCCCCCCCTCCGCCGACTCCCCAATTCTGCTGTCCTTCGCTCCACACTGGGAAGCCCCCTCCTCCTCCTCCTCTTCCTCCCCTCCCCTCCCCCGACGGCACGGAAACAGGGGCTGGCTCGCTAGAAAGGTTATCCTTTATTTCAGAGTACACATCCGACATTCGTTCCCGTTCGCGCCGACGGAATGGCAGCCTGGCCCGGCGTCTGAAGGGAGCGTGGCGGTGAAAAGACCCATCTGGGAGCAAACCCACCCCCCCCAATTTCCTCGCCCCGGTTCCCGAGGGGAAGGGGGTCTGACCGGCTATCCTCGGTTCCGCTCTCTCTCGCGGGGCTCTCCCTCCGGAGGGTTCCGAAAAGGGCTCAGGCCCAGACGCGGTTCTCGAGGCCTCGGGAGGGTTGGCTCGGGGGACGCCCCCCTCAAACCTTGGTCCGTCTTTCTCCAGAGGGCCACATCCCCGCCGGGGAAGGGACCGCGGCAGCCCAGGAGTCCATTTTGGCGGATGAGGCTGGACCGGAGGGCGTCCGCCGTCTCACTGCTGCTTGGAGCGGGGCCACAGCCGGCTGGCCAGGGAGCCCAGGAACATCTGCTGCTTCTTGTGCTGGGAGAGGTCCGAGAGACGCCGCTGCTCCTCCTGAGGGAGAGGCACACGGAGAGCCCGGCTTCAACCACGGGGCTCGCTTGGCCCCGGTCCCGCCCCCCTCGCATCCCTCCCGGGGGGGCCACTCTGCACACGCTCAGAGACTCTCCTCCATGCTGAGAAAAGGCATCCAGTTTGGTGTCGTGGTGTCGTGGACTCTAACCTGGGAGAAATGGGTTCGATTCCCCACTCCTCCACTTACAGCTGCTGGATGACCTTGGGCAAGCCCTAGTTCTGATAAGAGCTGTCCTTGGAAAAGAGCCGTTTCTGTCAAGAGCTCTCTCAGCCCCACCTCCCTCACGGGGTGTCTGTTGTGGGGAGGGGAAGGAGATTGTAAGCTGCTCTGAGCCAGTTTGGTGTAGTGGTGAAGTGCACGGACTCTAATCTGGGAGAACCGGGTTTGATTCGCCACTCCTCCACTTGCACCTGCTGATGTGACCTTGGGCAAGCCACAGTTCTGTCAGAGCTGTTCTCTCAAGGGTAGTTCTGGAAAGAGCCCTCTCAGCCCCACCTACCTCACAGGCAGTGTTCCCTCTAAGCTGAGTTAGCGTGAGCCAGCTCACACATTTTTGTCTGAGCTCGGGAAGGAGGGCTCCAGAGCAATGCAGTAGCCAAATCGCTGGCTCACAACTTTAATGCCAGTGGCCCACAAAGTAGACTTTTTGCTCACAAGACTCCACAGCTTAGAGGGAGCATTGTTCACAGGGTGTCTGTTGTGGGGAGGGGAAGGAGATTGTAAGCTGCTCTGAGCCAATTTGGTGTAGTGGTTAGGAGTGGGGACTCTGATCTGGGAGAACCAGGTTTGATTCCCCACTCCTCCTCCACGTGCAGCTGCCGGGGTGACCTTGGGTCAGTCACAAGTTCGCTTGGAACTGTTCTCTCAGGAGCAGTCCTCGAGAGAGAGCTCTCTCAGCCCCACCTGCCTCACAGGGTGTCTGTTGTGGGGAAAGGAGGGAAAGGGATAGGGGACTGTAAGCCGCTCTGAGACTCCTTTGGGTAGCGAAGGGCCATGGGGTATGAATCCAATTCTCTTCTTCTTCTCCTTCTCGGAGCAATGTTATGAGACCCCTTGTGGTGGCCAATGCTTGTGAGTCTGCTCCAACCCGCTCTGCCGCCCCCCCCGAGTCCTGGCCGGAAGGGGGTGTCCGGTCCCCCCCCCCCGCTTACCTCCTCCAGCTGGGACTGCCTGCGCTTGAATGCCTCCAGTGGGTCGTCTTCCATGGAGTAGTTCTCCAGCACCGACCGGACGTCCTCCACCCCGCTCAAGGCAATGGCTGTTGGTGGAAGAGCAGGGGAGGGAGGGTGTTTAGGGGGTGCCAGCTCCGGTTTGGGAAACTCCTGGAGATTTGGAGGGGTGTGTGGAGCCCGAGGAGAGGGAGGGGCTTCGGTGGGGTACCGGGCCACCCTCCAAAGCGGCCGTTCCCCTCCAGACGGACTGATCCCCGCTGCCGGAGATCAGTTGTAAATCCCAGGCGATCTCCAAGATGCGAAACAACAGGGAACCCCCCCCCCCGAGCGTACGCCGTATGCAAGAATATAACCCGCAAAGTGTAGACCGTCAAAAGACACACAGCTATCACAGCAGAAGGGTGACCACCGATTCTATTGTGTCTTCAGTCTATTGCTATTGCTGATGTCCGGCAGGGCTCTGCTGGTAGCAGGAGCTCCTTTGCATATTAGGCCACACCCCCCTAGTGTAGCCAATCCTCCAAGAGCTTACAGCAGCCCCAGTAAGAAGAGCTCTGTAAGCTCTTGGAGGATTGGCTACACTAGGGGGTGTGTGGCCTAATATGCAAAGGAGCTCCTGCTACCAGTAGAGCCGATGTCTACTGCTGACTTGTGAAAGCTGTGTTGCCTTTTGATGGTCTACCCTTGCGTAACAGGTGTGTGTGTGGGGTTTATATTTTCAGGACGCTGTCGTGGCAAGAGAGGGCGACCCCGGTGGCAGGACTGGGGGCATCCAAGCTGTTTCTGCGGCCTGAGTTATGCCAAAAACCCGGGTAGCCCAGATGAGCCCGATCCCGTCAGATCTCGGAAGCTAGGCAGGGTCGACTCCGGCAAGTCCTTGGATGGGAGACCCCCTTGGAATACCAGCAGTCGGGAGCAGTGTTCCCTCTAAGCTGAGTTCGTGTGAGCCAGCTCACAGTTTTTTAGCCTCCGGCACACAGACTTTTGTCTCCGCTCAGGAAGGAGGTGGCTCCAGGGCAGACTAATTGATGCAGGAGCCAAATCGCTCGCTCACAACTTTAATGTCGGTAACTCACAAAAGTAGCATTTTTGCTCACAAGACTCCACAGCTTAGAGGGAGCGTTGGTCGGGAGGTGGGGGGCAGGCTTTATTCAGCCACCTCTCTGAATATCCTCCAGGCCAACCAGTAGGGGTCAGTCACCAGCAACGCTCCCTCTAAGCTGTGGAGTCTTGTGAGCAAAGATTCTACTTTGTGAGCTACTGGCACTAAAGCTGTGCAGCGAGCGATTTGGCTCCTGCATAAACTAGTTTGCTCTGGAGCCCTCCTTCTTGAGCTGAGACAAAAATGTGTGAGTCGGAGGCTAAAAACTGTGAATTAGCTCACACTAACTCAGCTTAGAGGGAACACTGATGTGGCATGATTAGAGTCTCTGACTGGAATCCGGGTTCAAATCCTCCCTCAACAATGAAACTGGATGGATGACGACAGATCAGTCACTCACTCACTCACTCACTCTCTCAGCCTGCCCTACCTTGCAGGGTTGTTTTGAAGGTAAACTGGGCCAACCAGAGCATGCCACCCTGAGCTTCATGGAGGAAGGCTCGCTGGGAGAAATACACATGAGCAATGCTCCCTCTAAGCTGTGGAGTCTTGTGAGCAAAAATTCTACTTTGTGAGCTACTGGCACTAAAGCTGTGCAGCAAGCGATTTGGCTCCTGCATAAACTAGATTGCTCTGGAGCCCTCCCTTCCTGAGCTGAGACAAAAATGTGTGAGCCGGAGGCTAAAACACTGTGAGCTAGCTCACACTGACTCAGCTTAGAGGGAACACTGGTCACCAGAGGTCGCCCTGACTTCCAGGTGAACACGCACTCACACACATGGACATATACAAAATACAGAAAAAGACAAAAAAAAAAGGACAAAAACCCAATACCCACAATACTGTGGGCTTTTGGGCTTAATTTTTTCCTTAATTAATTTTTTTTTTTTGCATTGTGTGTGTGTGTGTCTGGAAGTCATGGCGACCTCCGGCAACTCCTACTGGGGCAACGGAGGATGTTCGGAGAGGTGGCTTGACGGCCTGCCCCTGCCTCCCAAGCCCTGGTATTCCTTGGAGGTCTCCCATCCAAATACTCGCTTGGCTTCCGAGATCTGAGGAGATCGGGCCTGCCTGGGCCATCCAGGTCAGAGGTTTCTGGCTTATCTGACTGTGGAGGAACAAGACGTTACGGAGAACGCTGGCTTCTGTTCTCTCCAGCCCTGTTCTCCCCGCTCAGGGAAGCGTCTCTCCGTTCCCCTTTGACCTCTGAGACCCCACCTGGCGACGAACAATCAAGCTTAAAAAAAAACCCACACCCATAAGGACTAGAGACTTGCTACGTTTAAAAACAGAGAGAGAAAGCCCCCCCGGGAGACACAGAGCTGGGCCGATCGAGGCAGCACGGCCTTCTCGGTAAAACAGCCGGGTTCCACCATGCCTTGGAGGGCTGGCCCCCCCTCCCGCCCCCCATCTCCTTACTCTTCAGAAAGGCGGCGAGGTCAAAGAGCATCCGGTCGTCTGAGTTCCCGTCCCACTTCTGCAGGGCCATGCCGTTGAAGGGCTGCAGGCGGAAGGCCTCTTTCTTGCAGTCCACCACCACCACCTTGGCGGGGTCCCTGTTCAGGCAGGAGATGTCCTAGGAAGAAGGAGGAGGAGGAGGAGGAGAATGCTAAGAGGCATGCGAGAGAAGACCAGGTCATCCAGCAGCTGCAAGTGGAGGAGGAGTGGGGAATCAAACCCAGTTCTCCCAGATTAGAGTCCACGCACTTCTCCACTGCACCAAACTGGCACCACCCGGGCAGAGCTGGTTCTCTCTCCAGCCAACTGAGAGCCGTAGGGGAGATCCATGCAGGGCAACAGAAGCGGATCCCTCGATGGCCACAGTTTTTAGCCTGCTTGTTGGGTTGAATCTTATCTCTAGGGGGCCACGTCACAGGAATCCTCTGGCAAACTTTTTTTGGGGGCCGTCAAATTGCCGCTGACTTATGGCAACATAAGAACATAAGGGAAGCCAATGCTTTAGAGTCCACGCACTTCACCACTGCACCAAACTGGCACCACCCGGGCAGAGCTGGTTCACTCTCCGGCTGACTGAGAGCCGTAGGGGAGATCCATGCAGGGCAATAGAAGCGGATCCCTCAATGGCCACAGTATTTAGCCTGCTTCTTGGGTTGAATCTTATCTCTAAGGGGCCACGTCACAGGAATCCTCTGTCAAACTTTGGGGGGGGGCGTCAAATTGCCGCTGACGTATGGCAACAAAAGAACATAAGGGAAGCCAATGTTGGATCAGGCCAATGGCCCATCCAGTCCAACACCGGGGATCACACAGTGGCCAAAAAAATACCAGGTGCCCTCAGGAGGTCCACCGGTCCCTGTTGCCCCCCCCCCAAGCACCAAGAAGACAGAGCATCCCTTGCCCCAGCCTGTGAGTTCCTATCTATACCTTGTGGCCAATAGCCACTGAGGAACCTCTGCTTCGTATGTTTATCCAGTTCCCTCTTGAAGCTGTCCATGCTTGTAGCCACCACCACCTCCTGTGGCAGTGAATTCCAGGTGCTGATCACTCTTTGGGTGAAGAAGGACTTCCTTTTATCTGTTCTAACCCAACCACTCAGCAATTTCATGGACTGCCCACGAGTTCTTGTATTGCGAGAAAGGGAGAAAAGTCCTTCTTTCTCTACCTGCTCTGCCCCATGCAATCATCTTGTAAACCACGTCACCCCTCAGCCGTCGTTTCTCCAAGCGAAAGAGCCCGGAGCGCTTTAACGTGTCTCCATAGGGAGTGTTCCAACCCTTTTATCATTCTAGTCGCCCTTTTCTGCACTTTCCCCAAGGCTATACAATATCCTTTTTGAGATGTGGTGACCAGAACTGTACACAGTACTCCAAATGAGGTTGCACCATCGATTTATCATTCTAGTCGCCCTTTTCTGCACTTTCCACAATGCTATACGATATCCTTTTTGAGGTGTGGTGACCAGAACTGTACACAGGGCTCCAAATGAGGACGCACCGTCGATTTATACAGGGGCAGGATGATACAAGTTAGGGAAAGGATGAGGACTGCCGATTACAGCGCCGCTGCTGTCGTAGAAGAAGAGCGGCTGAAACGCTCCCCATGGGAGGGGTCGAGAACCCCTTCCCCCTCCCTTCTTCCCCCTACCACCTTTTGCTTAACGCAGGGACACACACACACACACACACACAAAAGAGACCAGACATCAATCAGGACACAGAGCTGGCAAGCGCAGGCCATTGAGAGAAAAGGACACCCTACCGGGTCTGGGGCGGCAGATGGGAGGTGAGGAGAGAGAGGGGAGGGAAGACAGACAGAAGGCTCACAGCAAAGACATCCCAAGCCCTCTATTGTGGAGGG